GCCGGCGAGGTGGTTTCGCTCAAGTTCAATATCCACCGTCGGTTTTCGGATTCGATTAAGGGGATTCTAAACTCCGATGGTTTACTGGAGAAACACACCCCTGGATATTACGCAGCTATGGTCCACCGCGATCGACTACTTCACGCCCGGCGATTGGCCACCTCTAAAAGTGAAACGCCGCTGACGTTCTCTTACGATAACCACACCTACCGATACGGCGGTTTGGGAGAGTATTGCGCCTTACTTTCTCTGTTGATTTTCCGATTTACTTTGGCCGATTGCCCTTGCTTTAATTTGTTTCCTGTTGGCTTTTCAGTTTCTACTACGCCAATATATCTGTGGGAACGCCGGAGTTAGGTTTCTTAGTGGCATTGGACACTGGAAGCGATTTGTCCTGGTTACCTTGTGAATGCAGCAAATGCCGTACTTCCGTGGGCACTTCAGATGGGGAAGATGTATTTTCTTTCCGCCCTCTTCAATTTTCTCGGGAAACAAACAGTGCAAAATTTTGAAGTTGATGTTCTTATTTGTTTATGTTTCTTCAGTTAACGTTGAATCATTACAGTCCAAATGCTTCAACCACGAGCAAAAGTGTAGCCTGCAGCAACTCTTTGTGCGAGCTTGCAGACCAATGCCCTTCAAACAAAAGTTCTTGTCCTTACAAGATTCATGATGCGTCTCCCAATACATCATCTTCTGGGTATTTGGTAGAAGATATCTTGCACTTGGCCACCAATGATTCACAATCCAAACCCGTTGATGCCAAGATTACTTTTGGGTGAGAACTGTTGAATCTCTCTGTCTGAATCAAATGCTTCTGAATTATGAAGAAATTTCGTTTAGTTCTTAATACATTTCTTTCTGCTAACATAACAAGCTAACCAAATACAAAATCTATGGTAGTTTTACGATGTTTTAGCCGTTTCTAATATAAGTCGTGAAGAATAAGTTCATGAATCTTCTGTGCATGAATGACATTTATTTGGTTTATAACTCTTTTGGTGATACATGTTCATACACTTTGTAACCATTATTAAGATTGGTTGCTATCAATGGATATGGGGAAATTTCTTCCCTTTGAACCATGTAAATCTTTTTGTCTCTTTGTTAAATTTTTGTTTGTGGGTGTGTGAGTAGATCGATCTTGCTTCAGCTTCCGTTACAACAATGTCAACAATACTATCTTTCATAGAAACTATCTGCAATCTGGTGTGTTATTGCGTTGCTTTAAATGGGATTCTTGATGGCAGGTGTGGTAAGGTACAAACTGGTATATTTTCCAGTATCGCAATTAATGGTCTTCTTGGGCTTGGCATGGGGAAGATATCTGTTCCATCCCTCTTAGCAAGCCAAGAGCTCACCCCAGATTCATTCTCCATGTGTTTTGGATATGATGGTTATGGGAACATCGATTTTGGAGACATAGGCCCATCAGACCAGAGAGAAACATCGCTCAATCCCCACTCGTAAGATCTTCTCACCTTTTTAATCTACGACCTTCATTTCTCCTGGATAATAAGCTGTTTTTCCTAGCTGAATTCTGTTGTTTGGTGGCAGTTCATCCTACAATGTCACCATCATTCAGATAACTGTGGCAGGAAAACCCAACAATGTTGAATTTACCACAATTTTTGACTCTGGTTTCTCTTATACGTACCTCTCTGACCCAATTTACACTTTCGTTACTCAGAATGTAAGCTATTATCGCTGGGAAGTGTCATACAAGTTCATGGAATCTCTGGTTTATATATAGAATTTTTTGTGCAGATAGATGCAGCCATGGAATTAGACCGCGCTATATTTGATTCTGATTACCCATTCGAGTACTGCTACCAACTTCCGTAAGTAGATGATAACAATTTTTGGTTCTTGACCCTTTTATTATAGACAAATATCTGATATTGTGTTTCTATCTCGTTTGTAATTTATTGGATTCTGTAAATGATTATAAAAAGAGAATTTTCCGTACGTGGGGTGATTTTAGCAAATATTCTCGATAAGATGTTCAGATTCTAATTCCCCTCAATTCCTATCCAGTCTACGAACACTCTTTCAACAACCGCATCTGAATTTTACTATGGATAGTGGCTATATTTTTGGCGTTATTTCTATGTTTGTTGCCATTCCTACCGATGTGAGTTATCTGAACAGTTCAAGTCTTTTGCTTTTTAAGCTTTCTTTCTGTAATCCTTTGGGTTTTTCTTGATCTGGGTGTTCGCGTGGGCTTCAGGACAAGGGTGGATATGCCATTTGTCTTACCATTGCCAAGAGCACTGATATTAATCTCTTCGGACGTGAGTGCCCATCTCTGCTATTTGTTGATGTTGCAAGAAAAAGATCATGAACTTAAAAGCTTTTCCTCTTCTGGCAGTGAATTTCATGGCTGGTCATCGTATCGTCTTCAATCGTGAAAAGATGGTTCTAGGCTGGAATGAAGTGAACTGTTCAGTATTTCTTCACCTCAAAACCTCTCTTCGTTTTTCTGGCTTTGTTCATTGTCGCTGATTGCTTGTTTTTTTTTTAAATCCAGGTTTCGACAATGGCGCCGACAACTCCCCTCCATCCAACTCTCCGCCGGCCGACGCACCATCACCGTCCGGCGACTCTCCTCCGGCACCTTCTACCCCTAAAACAAGCAACAGCACGCAGTCATCGCCGGGAATTGGGACGGGTGATGCGACGCAGTTAAACCCGCTTGCCTGTCTCTCTGTTGTCCTTCTTGCTATTTTGTCTGTTGTTTGACTTTCATTGTTTATTTCGTGTATTTTATTTTAAAAATAAACAGCTTTATTTGTTTTAATTAGATTAAAAATCAATTTCTTCCCTTTTATATGAAAAAAAAATTATATATACGGATAATAATAACAAGTCAATCTTCTCTTTAATATTACTTTGTTTTTAAAAATAAACCGTTTTATTTATTTTATTTAATAGTAATTTTAGTAATTAGGTTAAATATTCCGAATACCAATGCCCATGTGGGATTGGATGCATGCTCAAAATTGTTTTGGCTAAATATAAAATATTTATATTTCATTTTATATTTTTAAAAAGTCAATCCTCTCTCTAATAAATTAATGATATTCTTTACTTTAAATTATTTAAATATTATTTGTTAAGAAAGTGCCAAGTAAATTATCACTATTTGCCAATAAATCATGGATTAAATTACATTTCAAATTCAATTAATAAAATATATTTTGATCTCTCTTTTTTTTAATAAAAAAAAATTCTTGGTCACTTCTTTTAATATATAATTAAAGGAATTTATTTTATATATATACATAAAAAAAAAATCAATACTCAATATAAACTTTGTATGTGTGCGTGTATATATATATATCATGTATGTACTATTAATGTAAATTTGTTAGGAATCAGACTCTCACGATTGTATGATATTGTCTACTTTGAGTATAAGTTCTGATGGCTTTGGTTTGAGCTTCCACACAAGATCTCGTACCAATAGAGATAGTATTCTTCAGTAAACCTAAACCCAGTTCCTAAATTAGTCAATGTAGGACTCACTCCCAACTATCCTAGCAAAATTTACTTTGTGGGCCCATAAATTGATGTCAAACACTTTATATTTCCTCGTAATGATTTGATTAGAAGAGATGTCTAGGTTCAAATAATGGCACCCAAATTAAGTAATTTATTTATTTATTCTAATTATTACTAATTAAGCTTAAATATGAAGCTATAATAAACAAACTGGAAAGCTCTATCCCAACTACCTACTTTCACAACAGATTACTAATTTTAAATTAAGATGTTATAATTTGATGAGTTAGATTCATGCAAATGCAAAAATTAAAATAAAATATTTGGTCAAATGTAGTTTTCACCCTTTTACCATTTTACCCTTTTCATTTTCTTAATATATAGGATTAAAATATTATTTGATCTTTGACCCTTCAATTTTTTATAATATGGTTTTTTTTTTTAATCTTTGGGATAATTAATCATTTTCCTTCATTATCAATGAATTTACTCTTACTCTCCGTACCAATGGATTTTTTCTTAATTTTTGTTATGCAACAATTTTTCTACTGACGTTTTTAAACTCTAAATCTAACACGGATATATAACTGATCAATACTGACAATATTTGTTAGTAGTAGACTTGAGGTATTATAAATAGTATTAGAATCATCACTAGACGATATACCAGCGAGGACACTGGCTCTCAAGAGGGTTGGTTTGTGAGATCTCAAGAAAGGGGAACGAAACTTAAAAATCTCTCGTTATTAGACGTGTTTAAAAACCGTAAGTGGATAGTATTTGTTAGCAGTGGACTTAGGCAGTTATACAATGTCTCTCTAAAAATGATCTATAATTTTTCTATCTCAAATATAAATATTTCAAACTTTGGTTTAAAAAAAAAATGAAGGTAAATGTTTGCTGAAACCACGCCATTTTGGTGGGTAAGAGTTCTCTTATTTATAATCTTCAAATATGGTAAATTATAAATTAATATGAAAACAACAACCGGTAAGAACAATAAATGACTACAATATATTTGACTTCAATAAAAGAACAAATATGGTAAGTCGTAATGTAAGTGAACGGTCAACTATCCTAGCATCGGATACCGTTTAATAATTTAAATAAAGTTCAAGGGAACTGTAGCATACCTTTTACTTTGTAAACGAAGAAATCCTGGCCTCTCGAGCTACCTTTTGAAGTAAAGGAAACTCAATAGCAACAAGAGGAGGGTATAACCCTTTTGGGTTTCCCGATCTTTCATTCAAAGCAAACATAATTATTACCAAAATTTTGGCATGATGTTGTCCCACTCCCTAAGTCCGAAAGTTGAAGGTTCAAGGAGCAACAGCAGCCAGTGTCGTGCATGTTGTTGGATCAGCATTGCTTCAGAATCACTTCGTCATTATTTGCATTTGTTCAACGTCTGGGGCCGCTATCATGTCACGGCGTATTGCAACTCTTCTATCACCTTTCATTTTCTATAAATAACACACAATCTTAACGGTAATGGACCAAGACTTGCTTCGTTTACTAAGATAAGAGCGAAGATAAGAGTGTAGCTTTCGTACCTATATTTGTAGGTCATGGCCTCATTTGCTGTGGTATTCTCGCACTTTGCAATTCTTTTGCTGTCTGTTTTGCCTTTGGGGAGTTCACTGAGCTTAGACTACTACGAGAAGACATGTCCAGGTGTTGACTTCATCGTTAATAAAGCTGTCAAGAGTGCAGCTTACAAAGACAAGACTGTCCCTGCGGGACTCCTCCGGATGCACTTTCATGACTGTTTTATAAGGGTATTCTCTTTAGAATTCTCAACACGTTTAAACTTCTTTGTGTTTGACAAAACTAACCTGGTTTTGTTTGCTTGGGTGAAGGGCTGTGATGCATCTGTACTGCTGAATTCAGTAGGGAACAACAAAGCTGAGAAAGATGGGCCTCCTAATTTGTCTTTGCACTCGTTTTTCGTGATCGACAACGCAAAGAAAGAACTGGAATCCTATTGCCCCGGTGTTGTCTCTTGTGCTGATATTGTGGCTCTAGCTGCAAGGGATGCAGTTGTGCTTGTAAGAAACCATATAATTCAATGGTCTTTTTCCTTAGTTCAACACCTTTATCTCTGAAAAATGGTATAATTTTGTGTGTGAATGTGTTACAGTCTGGAGGCCCAACATGGGATGTTCCCAAAGGGAGAAAGGATGGAAGGATATCAAAGGCTAGTGAAACAATACAATTGCCATCTCCAAGGTTCAACATTTCTCAGCTGCAACAAAGCTTCTCCCAAAGGGGATTGTCCTTGGACGACCTAGTGGCTCTTTCAGGTAAACCACATAAAAATACAAACTCAGGATGAAAATTTCAAGTACTAACACAACGTCAGCAGTTTGGCATAGTATGTATACAAATTTTTCATAAGAATCAGAGAATATTCAGTGTAAACATAAGCATTGTCAATGTTATATGATGCAGGAGCACACACCTTGGGATTTGCTCATTGCTCATCCTTTGAAGGTAGAATTCGCAACTTCTGTCCAGCCAGCAACGTCGACCCTGAGATGAATCCGTCCTTTGCAGCAAGTCTAAGAAACACATGCCCAGTAAACAACAAGGCTAAAAATGCTGGTGCTTACATGGATACTTCTTCAACCACATTTGACAACAATTACTATAGACTGATACTTCAAAAGAAGGCCCTGTTTTCTTCTGACCAAGCTCTGCTAAACTTTCCTAAGACCAAGAATCTTGTTTATAAGTTTGCAAGTTCAAAGGAAGCTTTTAACCGTGCATTTGTTAATTCTATGATCAAGATGAGTAGCATCACTGGAGGTCAAGAGATCAGGAAGAATTGTAGGGCAGTGAACTAAGAGCTACTCCTAATAGCTGTGTGCGTTTTGTTTGCAATGGGAGTAAAGTACCCATAGCTAGCTTGTATTCAGTACTGTTGAAATCACGGTACAAATGTGTTCTCATATATTTCCACTAATGGAATGCCTTTATTTTTGCCTTTATTCTCATATGTCTCCAATTAGAGATAAAGTTCCCTTTATTGTGATGCTCCACCACCTACATAACTGAACTTTATGGATAAGAATCTAATAGGATTCAGATATAAGCTACTTCGTTACAGCTCAAGACACCTAAAAACAATCAAAATTTGTGCAGAAAACCCCGACAGGCAAGAAGTCGAGTCAGGACAGTCATTATGAATGATCCAATTGTCAAGGCAAATGTAGAGTGAGAAATTGATGCCATAAATAGGCAACAAGTTAACCAACTTCCATCTTTTTTCAGGGTGGGGGAGGACTAATGGGTCATGAATTAATAAAAGTTAATAAGCAAGTCCTAAAAGTAATATAATCATAGATTTGGCAACAACAAAACAACCAAATTACTCTTGATTCAACTCCTCTCCCCCCTCTCCCGGCAGATTTGTCGGCAGATGAAGAACAGTAACAACGTTTATTATTTCAGCTGACACCTGCCGGCAATTTCGCATGCCACTGCCTCAGGGGACGGCGATAAACATTGTCCAACTCCGCATTAAGGACCCACAATTATGCAAAGGGATAACAGATGCATCCTCGAAAGGATGAAAACAAAACTGTAAGCTAATTGATGGTTTGTAATGCACAATATCTCCTGTTCATATATATGTAGTTGAACTCCCAAAATCAGGTATTTCATTCCATACAAGTTATGCATAATTAAAGTTTCAACTTGCACGAATGCACTCGTTTTCAAAATGGTTCCCTCCAAATTTCAACCACATGCCATTGGACCTAAAATTACCAGAACACCTAAAACAGACCGGGAACGGGAATATATTACTTCCATGTATGTCAAACTGAGTATAACTCAACATATTAAGATGTAAAATCTTCGATCAAGGGGTCAAATATTAATAAATGGTGTGCTAAGAGAGAAAAAAAAAGCCTTCTACTTATTAATAAATGCATTTTGTTACCTTGACTGGTTCCCCATTGAGAACAATCTCAGCCAATTGATGCAGCTTTGATGCCTTCTTCGATATAGCATGAAGACAAATCCATCAACAAGCTTTTCACACTTCAATACCCATGTGACCATCAAGAACTCAATGGGATGGTACCCACAACACAATTTGAATAACAGTGAATTGGTAAAGGTAGAAAACAATGATAATAATGATAATAGTCACAGTCAAAACCATCGTGACCAGCACTGCCAATTTCCCCTTCTTTCCCATCATGTAAGAAAATATTATCAATTATCAAGTTACCTGCGATTGTGGTAGATTGTTGTTATAGAAACTGACCCACCGGTGAACTTTGGAGAAGAACGGCCACGGAAGAACAGGGATCATCAAATGCTTCCCGACAAACATCAAACTCAAGTTTCAGCTCATTTTAATTCGATAAACAGAGATGCAAAAGTAGAGAGGTAATTGAATCCCAATTTGATTCTACGGCCCTAACATTATCCAGCACCTGAAGATTGAAGAATCAGCCTCAGATCAAGCATCTAACTGCCCATGGTGCTCCAATTAACATAGCTATTGACTATTGGCGCATGAAATGAAACTTACATTTTCAGGCAAAGCAACTAAGACGAAGCAATACCTTCACTCTATTAGCATCATCGGTGAATGTGACATTAGCGTCTAATTTAGCCGCAACCAATCCAGGCAACGAAGTGCCAGCACCGAGCTGCAACCAATTCAGAGGTCACAGAGTCACCCTAGCCATTACATTTCCCCGCAATAACATAATCAAGCATATCACCCTAACTAAACTGATTATTTACATTCAGCGGACCTCAATTGAGACGAATTCAAGAGAAATGGATATTAGGCGAGTACCTCAACAAGATTAGGACCAGAAAATCGTGTTTTCTGCTGCCAAACATACTCGGCCAGGATAATGCTACAGAACCACGCATAGAAGCCGCATTCCTCCTCCATATTCTGCAGTTTCATCGCAGTTACACAGAGATTTGAAAGTTTCTCCGTCCACCGAAATTTCTAAGAAAAAAGTAGAAGGCGAGTATCGTATACCTCAATGATAGAAATGGAGAAGACCGGATTTAGAGTGTCGTCTTTGAAAACGTGACGAAATAATAGTCATCATGGCGGGAACGGCCAAGTTGTCGGAATTACCGTCGTCCATGCCCGCTCCCGGCGATCGCCGACGAAAAGTATTTTAATTTAATTATTGAAAATAAAGTATAGATTAATTAGAATAATAAATAGTGAATATAGTACAAGGGGTATATATATTATATATATATTAGTTAATCATATTGTTAATTTTATTTAAAATTTTCGTATAATATGTGATATTGTGTATCATATTGGTTTCTTTTAATTATTAAAATCATTTAATGTCTTAAATCTTTCTATCAAAATATATATCTCTTTTATTTTTTAAATAATCATATATTTTCATCATTTTCTGTTATTTGTTTAAACAGATTTTTTCCATTCAATTTAGGACGATAATGTCAATTTAAGTATATATATAATGTTCGTTAAGACATCTATACGATATATTGAATCCCACATTGATTAATTTATTGGAAGATCGTGGATTTATAAGTGAGAAATACTATTTCCATTAATATGAGGCCTTTTGAGAGAAAGCTGAAAGCAAAACTAGAATTCCTTATCGATCATACTCGGTAATACTCGGTAATTTCTAACATAAATTGCTAGAAATTTCCATTCCTAAATTTTGTTATTATTATTATTATCATCATTATTGTTGCAATAATATAAAATTTCTTACGGTAATAAATAAAAAAGAAAATGACTGTATTTAAGACCAAGGATTAAAGAGACAATTCACAAACCTAATTTGATCGATCAAATTGGGCCGAGGGAAGTCGAATGGAGGCCAAATAGGCGCACGATAGCGCAAGGGCAAAATAGCAGATGAGGGCATTATCGTAATTGTATGCACATAAACCAGCCAGGGCAAGGTATCCTGAAGAGTTTCTAGTGGGAAGCAACCGAGAGAGAGAGAGAGAGAGAGAGAGAGAGAGATTTCTGGTTCTGAGCCCGCTCCCCTGCTCTCCGGCATGGCCTTCGTTCTCGTCTCTCTCTTTCTCTTTCTGTGATCTGATTGCTGAAACTTTTGGAAACTCTTCACATTTAGGATTCCCTTCGTTTTGTCTCCTGATTGCTGTTTTTTAACTGGAGGGAAATTTCTTGATTGCTTTAGTACATTTACTCCTTCTGTTCGTCGATCAACGGACTTCGGGCTGAGAAAACCCCAACTCGTGGTGTTTTTCTTCTTGTTTTCCGTTCATTCTTATGGCTGCTCCTAATCTACCCGATGACAGCCCTGCAACGCCTACCGGAGCCCACCATTCTCGTAACTCCGGCCAAAATATAAGCAGCCCTAAACCTCGCCGCGCCACTCGCCCAGTGTCGTCGCCGTGGACTCAGATTGTGCGTGGTGAGCTGGAAATCCCAGCAGTTGTTTCGGCTTCTCCATCGAATATGACATCTACGACGGCTATTGTCGAACCGTGTTCTCCTTCGCCTTCTTCTTTAGTTGCGGAAGAACCTGTTGGAGAGATATCAGATAGTGGGAATGAGTCACAATCCAATGCGGGAAATAAGCCCGCCTGGAATAAGCTGTCTAATGGGGCCGCGAAGGTAGGGCCTGTTATGGGTGCTGTATCTTGGCCAGCCTTATCGGAGTCTACTCGGTTCTCAATCAAATCGTCTTCGGAATCACCGAAAGGCTCAGCTGATGGATCTGTTGGCCCTGCATGCCAGGTTCTGACCCTTCATTTTGTAGCGTAGTTTTTAGTCAGTCTTGTTAACTAATGATGCGTGCTTAAAGTTTAAATATTCAGTTGCTCAGACTATTTTTTTTAACTGCAGCAGTCTTTCCATCTACGCGATCATTTACAATGTTTTTTTATTTATTTTTATTTGGAATCCAGAATATGTTCTGTTTTGAATGATCCACTTCAGTATCTCGGCCATCCTATTTGTTGTTTTCGTTAGGATCAAAGACAGTAGAAAGGCTCGGATATGTTTACTTGGGGAAGAAGTTAGAGTTAGGGTAAAAGGGTCTTAGAAGTAAGCTTATGCTATTCTTTGCTTGTTGATTGAAGGTAGTAGCAATTATAAATATTTGACATTATCGATTAAGCTAGACGATGTTACTCTGCCACCTTTTTTTATTCTTTGTAATGCATTCTTCATTTGGTCAATTCACTATGTTTCGAACAAAGACATGCATGGTTATCTGCTATCCTTTTTTAGTGTTTTTTTTAAAACATTTTACAAACGGGGAATAAGTTTATTGATAATTGATTGTTGTTTCACTAATTTTTGCTCATACATGTCATTAATAACATCGAACTTTCATATATCTCTCTGCATTTTGTAACCAGGGGATAGGTAATCCATCATCCTCACCACATAAAGAATTTAGTACTGCAAGCCCTATTCTGAATCTGAACCCGAATCCGAATCCAAACCCAACTCATCGTCAGAAGCCAATGAAGCGTAGTGGTGTTGGCAATTCATACAGTGGTGGTGCCTCTCAACAGTCGACAATTTCAGGTTCTATAATTGATACTACTCCAAATAATCCATCGTCGAAGGACCACATTCAAAGGAGTTCATTTGCCTCACAATCACACAATGATCATAATTATCAACATCAACGTAACTTTAGGAGTCGTGGGTCTGGTTACCCACGTGGTGACAGTTTTCACCAGCACAGTCATGGTTCTAGGCGTGATCAAGATCGTGGAAACCATGATTGGAATCCCCATCGAAATTATGGACAGTCTCAGAGAGTTATTCAAAGATATATAAGGCCTCCACCACCTCCTAGTACTGCCACATTTATTCCTTCATCTATGAGGCCTCTTGGGGGTCCCATACCTTTTCATGGTAAATTCTACCTTATTTTTTATGAGGCTTATGGTTTTTATCATGTGAACTTGTTCAAGCTTGAATCTATTTGCAGAATTTGGACCTCCAATGGTATATGTCGCAGCTTCTCCT